CAGGAGAGTGGGGAAACAGTGGCAGAAGGTGCCCAGAGCTGTGGGAGGTGCCTCCTCCCTGGGAACATCCCAGCTCAGGTCAGGCAGGGCTCTGAGCCCCCGGAGCTGCTGGAAGATGTCCCTGCTCGTTGTGGGGCACCAGGTGCAGGTGAGCTGGAAAGGAGCCTGCCAAGGCAGAGCAGGCGAGGATTCTGCTGGCTCTGCGTGTGGAAAGCAGCGAGACTGGAGACGATGGGAGGGGGCCCCAGAAGAAAAGCCCTCCCTGGCGCTGCTGCTTCCCCTGCAGCCCTTGGCATTCACCTGCAGCAGCTCCTGGGCAGCCCAGCGCCGCTCCTCGTCCGGCTCCAGGCTGCACTCGAGGAAGTCCCGCAGCAGAGCCGACAGGCGCCTGGGCTCCTGCAGCTGCGGGGTCCCGTTCTGCCGGATCAGAGCGCGAGCCTGCGGGGAAAGCAAACTCCGCGCTCTGCCAGCTTCCTTCACACCCACACGTGCTCACATCGACCCGGGCGCTCGGCCCCGGCTCCAGGGGCACTTGCCTCCCTGGCAGAGATGCTGCTCAGAGCTCATTTTTCTTTGCCAACCAAAAACCCAAACCCTGGTGCTGCCACAGCCATCGCAACATCCATATGATCTTGCCTGGAGAGCCAGTTTCATTGGCTGGCTTTGTTAGTAGGAACCTCCATCAGAAATAGCACATTTTGCTTCTCCAAATGTGGACACCAGCTTTACAGGCCATTTTCAAGAGTCTGGGTGGTCTGCCTGTGTTATTTCAGAGGATTCTTACATCAAGTGCATCTCTGCAGTGCCACTGACACTCAAGTAAATGCATTCCTGATGCCCCATCCCAGAAACTGCCAGGCAAGAAACAGGAGGTTTGTGATGCTGAAAGCTCAGGCTTGGTGACAACGAAAGTAGTGTGGACTAGAAAGTAAGTATATTAGACTATGGGGATGTTAAACCATTATCTTCATGTTTTTGACAAGTTTCCCAATGAGGTGAATCAGAGGGTGAAATCATCTTGCAAAACCTCTTTTAGAAGCTCCTGCAGAAAGCTTGTTGGGTTTGGGGGTGGGATTTGGGGTTGGTGCCTCTTACCATGGCCGCCGTTTCCCTGAAGTAAGGAGGTTCTCCTTCCACCATCTCGATGGTCACGATGCCGAAGGACCAGATGTCCACCTTGGGGCCATAAGGAGATCTGGTCACAACTTCTGGGGCCATCCAGTGAGCAGTGCCCACCATGGAGCTGCGCTGGTCCTGCTCAGGCCTGAGCTGAGCGCAGAGGCCAAAATCAGCTGAGGACAGAAACAAACACTGTCAAAGGCAGCTGCAATGATGAAACCAAGCACAAAGACTCCCCACCCTCAGCCTGTGAATTCAGTAGTGAAGTCAGCTGGAAAAGTCCAGCATAGGAACGATGGAAGCGGACCCTTACAGAAAGCCTCAGCTTTCGTGCAGTGGCTGTTACTGATTCCCTTGAAGCTTTAGATTCCCACTGCTGCCCCTCTGGAAGGGCCATAGCCAGAGCAGAGGCACTGCTGACACCCTGCTCCTCTGCTGAGCTCTGTGCACGGGCAGCCGCTCTCAGCTGGCAGCAGGGCCGGGCAGTGCCCCCAGCAGCCCTTGTGGGGCTCTGGCCGTCACTGGGAAGCAGCCCCACAGCCGCAGCCCGGGAGCGCCGTGCCTGGCCAGGAACACCCACCCAGCCTGACAGAGCCGTCCATCCCCAGGAGGATGTTGGAGCTCTTCACATCCCTGTGGATCACCCGCTTGGAATGGAGGAAATCCAGGCCCTGCAGACACTGGGAGAGAAACAGGGTAAAAACCAGTGGCTGGAATAAATCCCACAAGAAAGGACAGTTTAGAATTCTGCCAGCAGCAGCTTTGCTGGGACAGGCCAGGAGTGCAGTGCACACAAGCTCCAGGCAAACGGTTCTAGGCAAAGCTGAGAACAGCAAATCAAATCCAAAAGAGACAGAGAGTCCCACAACAGCAGGGGAGAGAGCAAGAACAGAGCAGAAGTGCAGTGATGCTGGCAGGCCGTTCACTGCAGAGGCTCTTTCTTCTCCAGCTCATCAAAACAACAGAGAAACAAAGCCCTGAGCATGGAGCCACTCCTGTTCTCACACCTGTCTGGAAGGACCATCGTGTCTAAGGCATGGGAGTGACAAGCAGGATCCCCAGAGGGGAAAGCCCTGCAGAGCTGCCAGCCGTGCTGGGCGTGTTGGCACTGACCTCTCCTCCAGTGGCCCTGTCGAGTCCTTTAGAAACGGCTCCGAAAGCCCTGCAGACAAAACAGCAGAGAAGAAAGAAGCAGCGCTTTAGGCCCTGGCAGGGAAAGCCAGCCCAGACAGGAGATCTCTGCTGCCTGCAGCGTTCACAAACACCTGGGGGCATCGACCCTTCCAACAACAGCGCAGCAGCCACCAGCCCTCTGCCAGGCAAGGTGTGCAAGAGAAAACTGAGACCCAACACGAAGGAATTGGCCTGCAGCAAATCCCAAATGTCCACCCTGAATTGCTTTACTTCAAAACATAGCTTGAGAAATGGGTGTCTAAAGAATTGGAAAAGAATGCATTTCATCCTTTTCAGTGTGTCTGACAACGTCCTGCAAAGTTCCTCCATCCATGTATTCCATCACCAGCCAGACATCTCCATCAACAAGGAAGCTGGGAGAGGAAAACAATGGCATGG